ATTTATAATCTTTATAATCTCTTTCTGCTATTTGCACATTTTTTACTGTAAATTTCTAAGTTAATTTGTAAATTTTGTAGTAACCTGTAAATTGTAAATACTGTAAAACTTTTTTTCTGTCATTTAATGGTCGGGCATTGTACAGCTACAAGCATTTCACCCCATGTCATACTGTGTATGGTTGTGTGTGTGTGACAAATAAAATTTGAATTTGAATTTGAATTTGAATCATCATAATTCATCTTCTGATACTTAATATCTATAATACATTTCTTTTGAGCCAAAGTAAACCAAATTATAATCTAACAAACACACACACGGTGCTAATGAGCTATTGTTGCAAACCTGAGCAGCTCAGAATCTTCTTTGTCATCCTTGGTAGGGGTTGATTTGACTCCACTTTTCTTGGCTCGGGGGCATCCAGACAAACTGGCACAGAGGAAGAAAGTGGACCACACAGAAAAGACAAAGCTTTGCTTAAACATAGGCTAAATAAAATTCTTTAAAAGAATGATCTCAAAAAGTAAAAATGTCATTTGTATATTTTGAAACATGTAAGCTAATATAGGTGAAACTGATTCTGTTTAATGCACATTTTAACAGTTTACAAGGACTCAGTACATTTACAGTGAGTTTATGTGAACATTATATTCTGTTAGCTTAATGTTTGTCATTCAATGTCAGCTTCTGTCTTAGTGAGACTGGTGGACTGTGTAAGCAGTAGGGACCAAGAAAATAAGTCTACACACAGAGTTTTTTTTTATTATTGCCAAAGTGTGACATAAATACACTGAGTAACTGATGTAGTCTGTAACGAATATGTGATTAGGGAGGCAAACTCTCACCTGCGATGTGAAGCATAGTTTCCAGTGATGTGGCCTGATCCATCACAACCTGGAGTTGGACACCTGAGACAAACACACACACACACGCACGCACACGCACACACGTGCACTTATTCAATTTGCAAATTTAAATTATTAGCACATTGCTGGCAAAAATGATTTTTTTCCACCAGATTACTTAGAATCAATGTTTTTTTTGTTTCCAATTTTTGATATATTGTATTATATCAAAAATATTAGTATTTTATATTAGTTTAAAAAGGAGAGCAAGGACAGAGCTGTAGCTGTGGAGGTGAGAGACGGGAGAAAGCACACATACTTTAGTTCTGCTGTGTGGGCAGCCATGAGGGTCCGAAGTGATTTATCAGCAAGAGGACAGCCTGACAGACTGAAAGATAGGTTAGAGAGAGAATGTCAGAACACCAGACAGATCAGAATGTCTGAGTATGAGTGAAGGAAAGAGCCAGAACCTGAACTAGACTGCAGAGCCAGGACAGAATTGAGCAGGATACACAGCAAGGACAGAAATGGTATTATTTTAAATTCAAGTAGTGTCATTGTTAGCTTCCCCTAAATATGTTCTTTGGCATAACCAGAGTCATCTACTCTGAATGGTGTGAGTTGTAAATGTAACAGTCTACTGTTTGCTGAAACATCTGAAAGGTCTCGTTTGTTCAAATGAAGAGAGAATGAAGGTAAATCCTCAAAAGTTTCACTGCGTATCCTCTACATATAGTAACCATGTATTAGTTTTCAAAGGAGCTTGCAAAGAAAAGCGTCTGGACTTCTTTAAGTTGCTTGAAGACATTTCACCTCTCATCCGAGAAGCTTCTTCAGTTCTAAGGTCAAATGGTGGGGAGTCCCAGATTTAAACCTAGTGGGAGTATCCCCCCGCAGAGGGACAAAAGGACCCCCTGATGATCTTCTAATCGCCTGAGCCAAGGTGTGAAAATGGGTGTGGGTCCCAATCAGCCAGGGTTTTGGGTGAGCTCATTGTGAAACCTGGCCCCACCTTATCATGCGAATTGCTGAGGTCAGATGGCCCGGGATGTGAGTGGGCATTAAGGCGTCTGGGGAGGGAACTCAAAACTGGATTATAGATGGCAGACAGTTGGTGTCGTAAACCACTGCCTCTGTTCAAAGATGGTCGCTCACAGTGGAACTTAGAACTGAAGAAGCTTCTCGGATGAGAGGTGAAACGTCTTCAAGCAACTTAAAGAAGTCCAGACGCTTTTCTTTGCAAGCTCCTTTGACTACGATGACCTGGATGACTGAGAACCTTCACAGACATGTATTAGTTTGTTTCATTACATGAGGTCAGGTGTGAGAGGTCCCAGTTGTCTGTGCTAATGTCCTGAACAAACACTGAAGCAATGAAGATACAAATTTTACATGAGCCATTTCATTACAGCTGAAGAAACTTTTTCAATGCGTGTACCATGCTACCCCTGCCCCCTCGAGACCCCACCCACAAAATGGGAATCTATGTAAAACCTAAATAAATAAAAATAAAATTCCAAAGCTATAAACAATTTGAAAAAATGTCTTTAGCTGAGAGCTGTTAGAAAAACTAGTTTTAGTTATTTGCAAAATAAGGAGATAAGAAATAGAAATCTCTTAAAAGTTACACTTAGTGACACTTTTCATTTCACAATTCAAACACTTTCAGTGTGGTGCTAGATTGCAGCCAAGTATGTGGTTTAGTATTGTCTTGCTGACATAAACAAGGCTTTCCCTGAAGCTAGCAAACATACCTGTGTGGGGTCACAGTGGGTAGATGTGGGTAAACTGTGAGACTGTGTTGGCTGGGCAAATCCACACTTGCCCTGCCCACACAATTTTGACCTTTGGGTTCCCTTTATGGGTTTTAAAAAACTATGAAGGTTGGGTAGGCTAGCCCAAGTGTGCCCCATAGTGAAATTTTGCCCATTTGTGTCCCCCAGAAGGAATTCTGTGGGCACTTAACTGTGTGTCGACCATGTGTGGGCACACCCGTTTAGTGAGTGATAAGCATTGGTTTTGTCCTGCTCACACAGCCCCTCAGTTCATGGGCACATTTGCTGGTATTATATATATTATATTTATTATTATTATTATTATTTATAATACAAAAGTAAATGTGTTTCATATCTTCTCTAAAATAGATGAAAACATGAAACGATAGAACATGTTTTATTACAATGTCAGAAATATAAGACTGAGAGAAGATGACTGATTTAAAACCTCAGTAAAATTAAAGTTATACTTGCTCTAATTGATATACTGCAAAAGAGCTCAACAAGTAAAATATATTAGGCCAGTATCTGAGCATACTGTAGATCTGTTGCAGGTCTACAGTGGGACACACTGTGGGCCATTCTCTTGTTAGTGTGGGCAGCTCACAGTCAGCCCACATTATGGGCTGTCCCACTGAGGCCCCGCACTGTTGGACCAAGATATGGTTTGCATTTCATGCTTGAACTGGACCCCTGATCAGCCTACTATGGGCCTTAGTAGGGTAGTGAAATGTAAGCCCCGTGGGTCTATTCCTAGTGGCTTTACACAGCCTCAAGGGGGCATGCTGTCATCATCTGGATTGCAGCATATGATCCTAAAAACTTGTATATATCATCTGGCATATTGCTCTCTTTCTCGCACTTTCTCTCATAAAATTATATAAAAGCAGATCAGAGTCTGGTCAGAGGTTGAATAGACAGGTCATTATTTAGCACTTTTCTTCTTTATCTGAGCACTCAAAGTGCTTTACACAACCTGCCTCAGTCACCCATGCACACAAGCACTTTTTTCTATGCAAGTGCTTTCTATCTACCACCTACAGGGTGCAACGGCATTACTTCAGGACTGTTTTGGATGAAGTGATTAGAGCATGTTGTATAATATGTAATACATGTGCCCTACACACTATCTTATGGCACTTGGAGAAAAAGATGAGTTAAGCCAGGATTCTGCTTATCATTTTCTCTTTAGTTTTTAGTGCAATCATCCCACAGCTCTCTCTCTGACTGGACTGAACACCTTACTCTCAAATTAGATTTTGGACTTATTGTCATGATCCTGGGTTCTTTGGCCCAGCATTTTGAGTTTTCTTGTGTTTTGATATTATTTTGTATTCTAATTTATATCTAAGTCCACTTTGTTATTCTAAGGATTTATTCTACAGTACCTAGGTTATTCTGTTTAGCCTTTTGATTATTAGATTCCCCCTTGTGTCTTTGCCCTCTGTGTGGCTGTGTTTATCTATGTTGTGAGTTTTTGTGTCTTGCTTCACTCATGTTTCATTCTGCTCCCCCCTGCCTGTCATGTTATCCATGTTTCCCCAGTCATGTCTCTGTTTGTCTGCACCTCTCTGAGTGTGTTCCCATTATTTCCTGTTTTACTTTGGTAGTCTCCTACGCCATGTTTTGCTTGCCTCTCTTACTACCTTGTCTACCTTGTCTCATGTATAATGTTTAACTGTACATGCTCAGTCTCATTGTGTGTAATTTGCCCCAGCTGTGTTCCCCACAAGTTTCCTGTTCCCTCGTAATTCCCTGTATATTTAAGCCTTTTGTTTTCTTCCGTCCAGCGTGGCAATCTCTCTCATTCCTGGCTGTGTGAGTCTCTATGTGTTAGTTTATAGATGTACCAGTATAGTTTTGTGTTATTTCCCCTTTCAGCAAATAAATCTGTCCTATCTTGTTCAAGCTGCACCACTGTGGTGCAGCTTGTCGCTCGTTGGTATGTTGACTGGTTAACTGACAGCAAGGCTCTGCGACTTTTGAACTGAGGATGGATGGTAAGGATGGATGTTAATGCCTTTCTGGAGACCATTTTCAAGGACACAGTAAGACGTATGCCCTCTGCACTGGGAGACACGCCTCATATCCCCATCATTAAAAAATCAACACCACCCAGAATTTACAATAGCTTATTTCCACAGACAATAAGACTGCTAAACTCACTGTGATATGCAGAACAAAGCCACTTTTGGAAATAGGTATAGTGAAAATGCCAACATTTTATCACTATTTAATCAAAACACCCACAATGAATAGCAAAATAATTGTTTTTCCAAATTTTTAAATACCTCATAAACAATGCTATTTCTGTTTTGTTTGAAGTAATTATTTTATCAGCAGTTTCTCAGTTCTTTTTTTTTCTTGTTCAGTGAGAGAAATCTCACTCATTATGTTTTAGGTTTGAATAAGTGCATTAAAGTCAGGTTCAGTGTTTGAGGTGGAAATAAGAAGGACACTCACATCAACAGCAAGGTCCGCCTTCCCTTCTGCACCTGAGAGCTCAAGGATGTCCTTGCCTTCCTTTTCACAAAACTAGCACTGACTTACAATAACACCTCCTGTCACGAACCTGGGTCTCTGACCCAGCGTTTTCAGTTTACGTTTTGAGTTCTTAAGTTATTCCTTTATTATGTTGAGTAATTGGATTATCTTTTGGTTGCCTTTAGTTTATTTATGTTTCACTTAGGTCTTCGGTGTTAGTCTGTCATGTTTCTTGTCTTCTTGTACATGTTGTGAAGTTGTATTGTCATGTCTGCTTTCCACTTTGTTTCCTGTTTTATTTTGATAGTCTCTGTTCTATGTCAGTGTAGTCCACTTTGCTTCCTTTGTCTCGTGTCAGATTAGTGTCAGCTGTTTCCCCATGTGTTTCCACTTCCACTAATCACCCTCGTGTGTATTTAGTCTGTGTATTTCTGTCAGGTTGTCTGTTGTTCACGTCATGTTCTCCACACCATGTTTCTAAATTTCATGTCCAGGTTTTTAATGTTGTTTGTTTTGTTCACCCAGTTTAGGTTAATGTTAGTTTTACTTCAGTTTGCCTTGCCCTTTGTTTGTACCTTTTAACAGCCTCATTAAACGTCTCGCTTTTTGTTAATATTCAAGTTTTCTTCCACATTCTTTGTGTCTGCATTTTGGGTCCTCTTTGCAAATTCATACAGTGTGCCGCCGCATACTGCGACACCTCCTGGTATATAGCACAATGCAAAAACACCAATTTCAGTTCTGGTTTGGACAGCCAATCATAAAACCTGCTGGTTTGTTCCATTTCAGGCCAGGCCTATCTAAGCAGGCAGTCACTTCTATAAAAAAAAAATCACTATATTTGTGGTCACTTTCACTCTTTAATTGTGTCAGTGTACAAAGATGGAATATTGGGCCTATGTCATAGACATTGCAGCTTTAGTCCAGAGACAAGGAGAAAAGGTCTAGCAAAGATTGAAATGTCTGTTCCCACTCTGCATCAGACCAATTGTTGTACTTTTTTTGTGTGTTTAGCTTCATAATGTTCATTCAAACTGGAATCCTTAAACACAGCTATCTGCTCTCCATAAACTAAGCAGATGGCTTTACCTGACGTCAGTAAATAAGTACTAAGAAGCTCATGTTTACATTCTTCATAAATGTTTTATTTAATGTGAGCTGATAACTTTGAAGGCCAGCTTCTTTCATAAAACTCTGTTCCAACACATTTAAAGTGAAGCTGCATTCGCTTGCACAGGAAAAACAAACAAACAGTCGCCTTCAAAATAACAATAAAGTTGTATTGTGTGGTGGCTGGAATATGACAAACTATTTGATCTCATGTGGACTGGCCACATGTTGGATGTGCCACAGATGCTGTACAATGTCCAGGTATGTTTCAAATCATTTCATTCTTACACCTTCACTGCTTACTCAAAAAGTAGGTCCATATTATCCAAACATCAGTGACACAGGGTTCAAAACTGGTCTAACGCATTCTAGGACAAGTGGCAGAAACATTATCTGTTCCCACTACAACCTCACAGAAGTGGACATTGGAGCAGCCAACCTTAAACAAAGAAATGTGATGCTTGTCAAGTATTGATGAAAAAGAACCAGCTGGCCTGTTGTCGTTATCACTTACTGTATCCTCCAATAAAGACAGATTGGTGTGGAATGTGCGAGTCACCAGGAAAGAGGGACCAAAGCTATATGTCAGCTGTGGGAATGAGATGGCCTTGCACACTATTCTCCCAATGACTGAAATGTATTTTGACTTAAAACTTGTTATATAACTATGGGAAACCTTTTCTGTTTGTTTATTTTTGTTTATTTATAAGGAACCCCATTAGCTTCCACAACAGTGGTTGCTAATCTTCCTGGGGCAAAAACCATCAAATACAATCAAATATAATATTACACAATAAATTGGATACCAAATATCTGCATAATTTGGCTCTTATATCCACAGTAAGGGTTTACGATTAAGAAAACATAAGCATATAAATATTAATAACACTGAAACAAAATACACACATTTCCATTACAAATGACATTGCCCTCTTACAGTATTTACAATGAATTAAAAGCTGCCTAAATAGGCTTATAAGTGATTTTTAAAATTATGAATAGAAGCCAATTCTCTAAGTGCGTAAGGCAACTTATTCCACTGAAAAGGTGCGCTAAATATAACAGAGTTTTTCAAAAAGTTGTGTTTAACTCGAGGAGTTACTAAATTGCGGTTTGTTGAAAATTGTGTACTATGATTATGTATTTCATCTGGATATTGCAACTGAGCAGAAAAAAAAAATGGTGTTTAACAGTATTGCTTTCTTTAAAAATACAAGTAAGCCATAGTATAATTCAGCTTGTACAGAAAGCCAAGAAAGTTTATCATGCATTTTATCGATATTTGTATAGTATGAACACTTTAACACTAATCTGGCCGCCTTGTTCTGGACTAACTGAAGTCTGTTCAGAGCTGACTCACTGTTACCACTTCATTGTATCCTAGATGAACATGTTCATTTGTTACTTAGACAAAGTTTACTTCTTTGATTCCACCTTCTTGCATGATTTGGGATATGCATGTTTGCAAATTTGTTGCTGTTCAATAATGTCATCAGTAAGTCCACAGTAAGAGTGTTGCTGTTGAGGGAAAGCAAACAATGTTCTTCATGACTGATGCACCTTCTTCAGCTTGAAATTGTCTTTTAAAGCACTGTTGGTATGTAATCTGAAATATGAATTTTGCTTCTGTCAATGAAGAGTAAAAAAAATTGGCACAGAGTTTAGTAAAGAAAAAAACGAGCGAGTATTTTCTGTGTCTTGTGATTATTTAATTTAAAGACATGAGAATGGAGGCTAGAGTCTTTTCCAGCTGTCATAGGATGAGAAGGCAGGGTACACCCTTGTTATGACTTTATTCCAAGGCTCTCGTGGCAATATAGACAACAATTCATGCTGATATTTATAGATCTGGCCAATAGGAAGAACATGCCCACACAAGAAACCAGCAGGTGGATATTTCCTCAGTTTTGCCCAAGTTCACGTGGTGTAAGTATAGAGAGGGAACCTGAACCCTCCTGTCATTGTGCTCATTCTGAGGAGAGGAAGAATTTGGTCTGACTGCTGACTTCAGCCAGGTATTGGAAGTAGAGGGCAGTATAAGTAAATACAGTATTTTGGTAATAATGTGTGAGAAGCTTGAATGCTTTGCTTTTCCTGCAGTGAACACAGCTATATACACACACTAGGAAAGTCACAGGATTGGATGCCATAAAAGTAATGTGTCAGCAGAGATGGGCAGTAACGTGTAATCCGATTACTTTTTTCAAGTAACGCGTAAAGTAAGGGATTACTATTGCAAATTAGATTACTGTTACTTTCCCGTAAGCACGCTGTGTTACTGCATTAATAAACCGTGATTTTGTTTGTCTCATGACAATGAAGTACGAGCGTGTGACGTCTGTGGCAGCAACAGACGTGTGTAGATCAACAATGGATAATATGGAGGACGGGAGAGAGTACGACCATGCAGCTTTTAAAGCTTGGAAGTACTCACATTACTTTGAGTTTGATTCCGTAAAAAGGGTAAAATTAAACTTCAAATCTGAGCAAGCACCGAGCACGCTGCCGCGGGAATGTGAAATTCACAGAGAAACCCCCGGATCCCCCCACTGACATGACCACTGCGGTGGCAAACCTCCACCAGTCCCACTCCTGCTAAACAGGTGAAAGTAGATTTAAGAGTGGCATGACTTAGTGCTGCTGAATCTTAGATTTGAGGGGTTTTTTTGCTGTGCATTACTTGCATCTATTTGAAAGAGTGAGTGTAAACGCAACACATTATTTTATATGCTGAATATGCAGAAAACAGGTTTAACTGTTAAACAATTTTCTTCAAGTGAAAGACAGTTACATATAATAAAATGTTTGCTCGATGCAATGTGCATAAAGTTAAAAGATTAAAACTAATAAAACAATTTTTAAAAAGAGGCTTTTCCATTTGATTCAATTTTATATGATGGATTATGCAGAAAAATGGGCTGAAAGGTCTATTGCCTTATTACCTATTCAGATTGTGTATCATGTTTTTAAACTAAGTAATAAAATAATAAAGTATATAATTACTGTTGAAAATAAGTAATCAGTAAAGTAATGGGATTACTTTCTTGGAGAAGTAATTAGTAACTAATTACTATTTTCAAGTAACTTGACCAAACTGTGTGTCAGTAATGGTGAACAGTGTTCTGCCTGCTGTCTGACAGACTTAGTAAAGACAGGCTAATAAGATTTTTCTTTCTTTTTTTTACAGGCCAAAATGAATGATTTTGTTTTGCTATAATCACACTTTGAAAACAGCAGAAGCAAACACTGGACATTACTTCTAAGCTAGATTTGAGGTCTTACCTCCGATGTGATGCGTAATTGCCAGTAATGTGTCCACTGCCATCACAGCCTGGAGTAGGACACCTAGGGTCAAGAACACATTCACAGATCAGTGTAGTGCTTCTACAGACTTTTCAGAAAACAAAAGCTTTCTTGTGTACATATCCTGTGTCTTGCATTGTCTTTTGCTCCCATGTTTTCATTTCATTTCATTTAAATACTCTCCCTTTCTAAAAGAGAAACTCATAATTACATATGCAATAAAGCAAGCAACAAAAACACCTGTATAAATTGACTGGTACTTAACTATAACACTTTTCTTTATATATATA